AAATATGCAGGAATGTGAGTCTGTTTGTCTGATAATATAAAAACAGAATCAAACATTGTAAATATTCTCTAGATGAATTTGTCATTAGTTCTTCTTTAAGACCAGAACAGACTGCGTACCGTGAACAGGAACTATCAAAAACATCCAGAAGACGTTTCCAGTCACAACATTTTATTAACCAAACAGATTATTAGAGAAACTACTCTGCAGATTAATGAACAGTAAAACAAAATCCCTTCAATGCAGCTTAACGAGGCTAGCAGTTTAACCCAGGACATTGAACATTTCATAAAAGGAGAAACAGTAACTTTTTAACTGAAGCATAACAGGCTATAAGAAAACCATGGTTGAAACACAGCATAGTAGAACATTTCTTTATAGATCAGTAATTATTCCAAACATGAATTAAATCAGGAGAAGCAGCATCTCTGTGGCCTCGTGTTGGCATAGTGTGAATGCTGGTTAGAAAATGAATAACTGTTGGTCACAGTGGCGAGCCGTCAGGGCCCTCTAGGCCCTCTGTGAGGGCCTAAGATATTATAAAAAATAATATTTGAAAACATTAAAATATTTTTTTTCATATTAATTATATATATTATTTTTACTCTACTTTTTTTTCCATTAGTTTTACCAAAATAACTTGATTTAATTGAATTTAAAATAACATTTCCAAATAAATCAATCCTTCGAATCTGCCTGTTCAGTTTCTGTTGGAATGTGAAGGGTTAAATGCCGTCTCTGCGAGTTATGTGAAGACGGGAGAGCTTGTGGTCCCTCTCTACATTCACAGAGGGCCCCGCTATAGTAACTCAACGAGAGAGTAATGTCAAATGACAGTACAATTGACCAATCATATCTTCCCTCTAAATGGGCGGGCTTTATTTTCGCGGACTTTATGACAAGTTCCGCCCGCTGTGAAGTCTATGCAAGTGGTGCAGTGACGCATCCTAAAACCCGGAAGTAAGCTGCGCTCGGATTCCCTCGACAGAAAGCAGTAGGATTTCTCCATAGGATTTTGGAAAATAGCTTGAAATAAGGTCTGTGGAAAACGAACCTGTTAGATAAATGCACGTTTTGTTCAGCCGGATAATATCCACATGTCTACCCTACTTTTATTATTTTTGAATCACAAATCTAATCGATAGATTTATGATCGATATATTTATGATTAGCATAAGTTCGTTCATGATGGCTCACTTCAGTGATAGTGATGACATCATTTGCAAAATTATTAACAGAGTCATTTTCAACATTGAGTTACAATGATAAACTGGAGTGGCAAAGGCTCAGCTGCATGACCAGCCATCAAGTGCTTCATCCAAAAGGACAGGAGGATGGACTTTGTGTTTAAGTGATTTGATCATCAAAGTCAAAGTCATTTTCAATGTGGGCCGCTGTGCCGACTTAATTCATTTGTAATTGTTACTTGGCTGTGGGTGCCCTGTCATGATAGGTGTTTATATAAATGGTGTTGATTTGTGTGGTAGAGGGTCGCTGTCATTTATGCGTTTTGCACCCCGGGCCGCTGTTTTGATATTCCGCTGAAGTATACGCTGTGACGTAATAACGCTTCTTTTTTTTCGAGGGAAGGGGGGTCAGAGGGCCTAGGTATAAAAGTCACGGCTCGATTTTAATTTAGAAAGACTCTTAAAATATAACAACACAGCTCTGAGGACATCAGGAGGAGGAAACAGCTAGCTTGGCTCTCAGAGTTGCACTGTTACCCCTTTCACACCAAGGCTTTTCTCGTTCTAGCTCTGTACTAGAACTTTTCTGGTTTGGAACCGGTTATTCGGTTCAGCTCCCGCTCTGTTCACACCGCTCAGAGCCCGACTGGTGCTGAGTCATTGCATCATCGTTTTGCATCATCGCTTGTGTCATGACGTAACCGTTTGCGTGCCTGACCAAACCAAACCCCGCAGAAACCCCTCACATCGACAACAACAACAACAATGACCGATTGTATTGAAGCGCTACTCGTTTTGGTTTTGCTCTGTCGAAACGAAATGGAAGAAATGGGACGACTTTACTCCCAACTTTACAGTCGTTACATGCTACATTCAAAAGTTCTTTACAATCATCATCTACTTAAACGAGGAATCCGTTGGAGAAAGAAGGTACATATACGTCCTATTCGATGGCGTTAGAGCTAGCTGTTGTTAGCCTCTGCATGCGCCAAGCTCAAAATACCCAGCTTTGCAGCATTAATTACTATGGTATAACATTAAAACTGATGCCCCTGCCCCTGCCTCCGACGTAAGCGTGACGTATGCGGTGCTTGCTTTATAGACCAACAACTTTTTGGTGCTTGAAAAAAACCGGATTCCGGAGCTTGGAGACGGCTACGCTGCAGTGTTGTGAAGCTGACCGTTGAGCGGCCCGACCAAGCAAGGAGGCAGAGGCGGAACGTCCAAAATACAACCCGGTGTGGGCATTTATTAAAATCATCTGCACATAGTTCACAGCCTCAATCCTGCTGTTCTCCCTGAACACATCCTGCAGCCACAAGGATCTCACCAACACACTACCTGTCACACAGACATGGGCCGTTTCTCAATCGCGAGGATGCTTGCTTGGTAGCACATGTCTTCTGAGTCACTTGCTTCAGAAGCTGGGAAGAATCCTTCTTGGCATTCGGAAAACGAAGAATGGAACAGCCTAGCAAGTGTGCGTCATATGAGAGGCCCCACCTTACATTTTACGCCACAGATTTGGGGAAATTGGTCCATGCGCAAAGCATTGTGGAGATTTTAAGTACGCAAAGTCTACCCATGTGTAGCCTCGAAATTAAGGGACTCAGTGGAATTCCAAGTATGCTGGTCATTGGAACAGTCCTTCGGCGGCACTCGATGACGTAGCATCCTTGAAATATTGGCTTGGAAGCCAGTTTCCTCGAGATTGTCCACAGTAACGTCACTGTGGACAATCTCGAAGTTACCTTCGTCACAGGTGTGAACAGGAATTCCGGGGCTTTTCAAGCTCCAGCTCCGAACCGGCCCTGGAACCGCGTTGGTGTGAAAGGGGCATTTGAGCACTCATGGATTACTACATCTAGAAAAGCTTTTCCCACACTCTTTACACCAGTATGGTTTCTCTCCCGTGTGAATAGGGTGATGTGTTTTGAGTTGATCTGATCTAGTGAACGTTTCCCCACACTCTTCACACCAGTATAACATTCTGAAAAATAAATAAAATACTAAGAAAAAGTTATTTCTGATTTTAAAGGTCAGAATTTTAAGAAAAATAAGAATATTTTCTCTGCAGCTCTAACCCTAAATATAACCCTCATTCACACTCCTCCCCACTTCCTGCAGACCCTCCCCTCCTCTAAATTATTGGAGCATGCATTTATAAATGTAAATGTGAAGTAATTGTTCTGCAACGACTCCTCTTAGACTTTATGTGAAACCTTAAGGATCAACAGGATGAAGGAGTAAAACCCTCCTCCCCTCATCTTTTGTCCCCCCTTTATGTCCCATCTTATAATAATAATAATACATTTTATTTCAAAGCGCTTTTCCAGGTGCTCAAAGACGCTTTACAGTGGTTTGATAAAACATGATAAAATAGAATAAAAAATAGAAATAAAAAATAAATAAATATTAAAACAGCAACACAGCATAATTCACAAATTAAAAGCCAGTCTGAAGAGGTGTGTTTTGGTCAGTGTTTTGAAAGTGGGGGGGTCGGTGCAGTCTCTGATGTGTTGTGGAAGGGAGTTCCAGAGGGTGGGGGGCAGCGATGGAGAAGGCTCTGTCCCCCCAGGTTCAGAGCTTGGTTCGTGTGGGGATAGAGAGGAGGTTTGCTTCTGATGAACGAAGGCTGCGGGAGGGGGGTGTAGTGGTGGATCAGGTCGGTGAGGTAGGGGGGGGCCTGGTTTATTGAGAACTTTGTGTGTTAGCAGAAGGATTTTGAAGTGTATTCGTTGACGGACAGGGAGCCAGTGCAGGTTTTGAAGGGCGGGGGGTGGTGATGTGGTCCTCGGGAGCGGGTGAGGAGGCGGGCAGCGCAAGTTCTGGATGTATTGTAGTTATTTAGAATTTTGGATGATGAACCATACAGGATTGCTGTTGCAATAGTCCAGTCTTGAGGTGATAAATGCGTGGATGAGGGTTTCAGCAGCCGGGAAGGAGAGTGAGGGGCGGAGGCGGGCGATGCTTTTCGGATGGAAGAAGGCAAGTCCTGGTGATATGGTTTGTGTGTTTGTCGAATTTGAGCTGGCTGTCAAAGATTACTCCAAGGTTGCGAATGTGAGGAGAGGGGGTTAGAGTGGTGTTGTCAAAGGTGAGGTTGAAGTTTTGGGTGGTGTTGGTGCGGGATGTGGGTCCGATTATGATGATATCCGATTTGTCGCTGTTCAGTTGAAGGTAGTTGTTGCATCCAGGATTTAATTTCTGAGAGACAGTTGGTGAGTGTGGAGTGAGTTGTGGCAGTGATGGTTTTTGTGGAAATGTAGAGTTGGATGTCATCCGCGTAGCAGTGATACTGGAGGTTGTGGCGGCGGAGGATTTTTCCAAGGGGAGGATATAGAGGATGAAAAGGAGAGGACCAAGCACCGAACCCTGGGGGACCGCCTTGGGACAGAGAGGCAGTGGAGGAAGTGCAGTTATTTATGTGGATTAACTGGTGTCTGTTGGTGAGGTATCTTCTCCTGACACCCCCCCCCCCCCCCCCCCCCCACCAGACTAATCTTGCAGGTACTTTAGCTTGAAATTTGCCAAACCATTTTTAGGGCTCCATGCAGGAATAAAAAATCCCAACAGTATTACAAACATTCAGTAATGAGTGAAAGAAACAGATCATATGAATGTCAAATAAAAAATGCTTACTGAAAATTAACATGAAGATGAAACGAAATGAGATTCCGATTGAACACCAATGTCCTCTTTTACTCTTTCTAGCAGCAGTTCAATAAAGTCCATTCATAAAAACCTAATGCAAAGTGATTGTAAGTCATTATAAAACATTAAACAGTTTCTAATGATGAGTCAAAGAGTCTCTTTGTGTCGACAAGTTTAATGAGAAACTAGAAGAACAATTTTAAGTTTACAGCTCAGATTATTACAGCAGCAAGAATCACATTTACTGAGAACACAGAAAACTAACGGCCGTCACAATGAAGTCAAATAATGAACATGAGATAATATTATATCAGAGTTTCACTAAAACAATGTTTGTTCAAACAAAACTAGAACGTCACAAATGTACTTTATCACTTCTCATACCTAACGTTTCGTAGTGTTTTGAACATCACTTTAAGTAAATACAAAAAAAGTACCAAAATAGCAACTCAAACCTTTCAATTGAACATAAACGTTGAATAAAAACGATTCAGTGACCGTTACACACAGGAAGTGAATAGGTGTTGGGCAACAAACATTCTGAACTAGATGCTCACTAAAATTACAACTGCACACATAAAGGATAATTGATTAGGAAGTATGTAAAAGATCCAGAGATGCTTCTATTTACAGATGTTTCCTAAACGTCTCATCTACAGGCTGCTGGTAGACAGATCATTGTTACGTTCAGCATCGCAGCAACAGTAATAAAGGCTGCTCTATGTAAATTAAAAAACCATTTGTATTAACAAGAGCACTCTCATATAGAGCTAATTGTGTGTGAGGACAGCAGGATTTTGGGAGGTCTGAATGTAGTCATAAAAAAGATGTTTATTAGAACGTAAAGTCACTGTTTGTCAGCTTTACATGTGGATAAAGCAGGGGGAATGCTAGCTTCACTCCGAAAAGGATCAGATGGAGGCAGAGTGAGTGCGCTGGTGGACTTTAAGTTTATAAGATCTTGTGAAAGCTTTGTCGCACTGGTCACAGCTAAATGGTTTCTCTCCAGTATGAGTGCGTTCGTGGATTTTATGTGTTTCACTTTGAGAAAAGGTTTTCCCACACTGTTCACACCAGTATGGCTTCTCTCCAGTGTGAATACGACTATGGATTGTGAGGTGACTTGATGTAGTGAAAGTTTTCCCACACTGTTCACACCAGTATGGCTTCTCTCCAGTGTGAATACGACTATGGATTGTGAGGTGACTTGATGTAGTGAAAGTTTTCCCACACTGTTCACACCAGTATGGCTTCTCTCCAGTGTGAATACGATGATGGATTGTGAGGCTACTTGATGAAGTGAAAGTTTTCCCACACTCTTCACAGCAGTATGGCTTCTCTCCAGTGTGAATACGACAATGGATTGTGAGTTGACTTGATGTAGTGAAAGTTTTCCCACACTCTTTACAGCTGTATGGTTTCTCTCCCGTGTGGATAAGCTGGTGGACTTTTAGGCCTGTACCTTGAGAAAAGGTTTTCCCACACTCTTCACAGTTGTATGGTTTCTCTCCTGTGTGGATAAGCTGGTGGACTTTCAGACTAGTGCCACGAGAAAAGGTTTTCCCACACTCTTCACAGCTGTATGGTTTCTCTCCTGTGTGGATAAGCTGGTGGACTTCAAGACCTATACCTTGAGAAAGGGTTTTCCCACACTCTTCACAGTTGTATGGTTTCTCTCCCGTGTGGATGCGCTTGTGGTTTTTAAGGCTAGTGCCATGAGAAAAGGTTTTCCCACACTCTTCACAGTTGTATGGTTTCTCTCCCGTGTGGATGCGCTTGTGGCTTTTAAGGCTAGTGCCATGAGAAAATGTTTTCCCACACTCTTCACAGTTGTATGGTTTCTCTCCAGTGTGGATGCGCTTGTGGCTTTTAAGGCTAGTGCCATGAGAAAAGGTTTTCCCACACTGGTCACAGCTGTATGGTTTCTCTCCAGTGTGAATACGATAATGGATCTGAAGTTTACTTGACCTAGTGAAATATTTCACACATTGGTCACAGCTGAAAAGTTTGGGTTCCTTTCTTCTTCTCTGTTTCTATAAAAAAGAGACGGATAAAGTGAGAGGCCGTAATATATCTAACAACTAAAATAATAGTCTGTCAAATAAACCCCACAATGTTCAAGTTTGTTTTCTCATTAAATAAAAGTAAAGGTTTAAAGTCCTTAAATAACACAATTGTTCCCCAGTGTAAGGGATAACAGTGTTAGAAATATATTGTGATGAAGTGAACACTGACATGAGTTCTGGGGGTCTCTTTGTTGTCCTCCATGCTGCTCTCAGTGCTCCTTCTCCTGCTGGGTCTCTGAAATAACAGCAGAGGTGGGAAGTACATTTACTCAAGTACTGTACTTAAGTACAACTATAGAGGTACTTATACTTTGAGTATTTACATTTGGCGCGTTCACACCGGAGTACTTTTCCCACAATAGTTCATCAGAACAACAATATATTTGCGTTCACACCAAAAAGCCCCCTGAACTAAATGAGTTCATCAGAACCCTTTTTACCCCCTGTTACAGCCGCTACTTTCGTTATGCCATTAACTCTGTTTGTGGGTGCATATGTAAATGAGCCGTGCAGTTCCTTTGCTGTCATTGGCCGTCCCGACCTCGCAACATCCGCGGCGATTGGACTGACGTCATCATATCCCCGCCCGCTTCTGACACGTCATCCGGGGGAGGAGTATAGAGGCCGGGCACGGACTTCATTCTGGAGGCTCTGTACTGTGGGACAGACGCCTCAAGCCTCTCGTTATATTACCGCCATACTCTGTGCTTTGTTAGACTGCCTAGCAGTGTGTTAAGTAGGGTTCCTGTGATAGTGACACTGATTAGCAGTGTGTTGTTAGTGTGCTGTGTTTAGCATTTGTGTGTGTCTTGCTTAGACCCAGGTGATTAGCGCCTGTAGATCAGCATTTGTGTGTGTCTTGCTTAGACCCAGGTGATTAGCGCCTGTAGATCAGCATTTGTGTGTGTCTTGCTTAGACCCAGGGCCCAAGAGTTCAAAACTTGTAATCCCTATCTGATCAGATCAGATTTGGACTTTGGGTAGTTCAAAACCAAAATACAGGATTAGGATCACTTTGATATCCGATCAGATCATGAAATCCAATCCAAGCTTTAATCTGGATCAAATCTTCAAAACGGGTAGTTCAAACCGACAACACAGGATTGGGATCAATTTGATCCCAAAAAACTGGATTATCCTGATCCCACCAGAGGGGTGGATTTCCAGTGGATTACCAGAGCAAAATGTACTGTACAATTTATTTTAAAATATGTTTCAATTTAAATTAGATGGCAAAGTTTGTTAACTGAAATAATACACAATTTTTAGCCTTCATGGGAAATACATTTTATTTTTCCATTTTTTGCTCACGTTTGTGGTGGCCTATTTTGTTTTCAACCAAATGTTGATGACATAAATGTTTATGCTCATGAAAGTATCACAACAAAGATTGTCAATCACAAATGTAATTTAGATTAAATAAAAAATATCTTCAACAAAAAAAAGTCCATCATCTGTCATCACCTTTCAAAAGTTTTGCAGACAATAGCACAGGGGTGGCCAACCCGCGGCTCTCGAGCCGCATGCGGCTCTTTGCCTAGTTTCATGCGGCTCTTCAGTTCATATCGAATTTTATATGTGTGAGTTTGGGGGAGAGACACTGACTCCTGACTAGTGTTGCATGGTGTACCGATACTTGAAAGGTATACCGCGATACCCTGCCGTTAAAAACGTTACGATTCCTCCGTTTCATTAGTATCGGTACTTTAAGAATGACGGGGGAAAGTACTCCGGTGAGAAAGCGCCGTTTTAATAAGAGCCGTGTGTTTTCAGCGCTCTGCTTCCACTCCCTGCACTGCAGCCGTGCCTGCAGCCCCTCCCTTCTCAAGCACGCTCGAAGTCCCTCCCCTCTCAAGCACGCTCTAAGTCCCTCCCCTCTCTCGTGCACGCGCTAGCTGCCAGAGCATGTGAGAAAACCAGAAGCATGGCTGCAAGTGGGAGTACAACTGCTGCTGCGCCTCGGCTTGTTGAGAAAAAAGACGCCAGAAGCGATGTATTTGAGCTATATCTCTGACAGTGAGGGCAAGCCTACGGGCACCATGAGGCCTGTCTGTGAGAAATGTATTAATTTTATTTAATACGAATTCTTGTCATTTATTTTATTTATTGTTCTCATTGTTTAAAAGTTTGTGTTATGGTTATGGTTCTGGTGTGAAATAAAGCACAATAATTACATTTAAGACTTTTTCCCTTTTTTTAAGAAAAAGAATCGGAATCGCAATTCTTGACTTGGTATCGAAACCAAAATGTTGGTATCGTGACAACACTGACAGTTAAACCTGATATTTAGTAGGTCTGTTAAGTATTGAATACTGATAATTCTGACGTAATTTGGCTGGTCAAAGTTGTTCGGGCTCGGATAAAATAGCTCCGTTACTTTCGTCCCGTGTTACTTTCGTCCCGGCTCTCCCTACGTGTGTATGTGTGGTGTCAGGTGTCAGTATGAGAGGATGACAGCGCGTCTAATTTTGATGTGGCCCAAGAGCCAATCACAATAATACCTGCAATGCAGTGAACCAATCACCTTTGAGGGGGGAAAAACCTATCGTTGATTAAACACTATCCAGTGTTTCCCCTACCATTGTCTTGGAGGGGCGCTGCCCGCCAACGGAGCCCCGCGCCCCCCCTGGAATTCAAGGTGTTATATATATATAATTTTAAAAAAAATATATATATATATATATACCACCAAATTGCAAATAATCTATAACTACTGTCACTTTTCACATTGAACATGTGCTCTTTTATTAAATAAACTAAACGCTTTCATCTTAAGTTGTGGGTTTAGTGTTGTTGACCCTAAGAAACACTGATGCATTAATCAATAACAATCCACAATCCACAGCTCCTCTCTCTGCTCCAGAGGATTTAAAAAATATATCCCAATGCCACAAAAATGCATCAGTGACGTGGTTGAAATCTTGTCTCCAGAAAACAAAAAACTGAAACAAGCGGTATCAGTGACTGTGTGTTTGATGTGGCTCTTTGCAATAACATAGAAAAAATGTGGCTCTTAACCTCTGACTGGTTGGCCACCCCTGCAATAGCATCTCGCCTTGCACCACCACTCAGTCTCTCATTTAGAGGGAAATCCATAGGTGGGCCTAGATCATCAGCAGGTGCGAGGGGCTCTGGGGGATCATCGATGTCAGAGAGGGGGACTCTGCGATGGACAGCGATATTGTGTAGCACAATACAAGCCAGTGTTATTTGGCATGCTCCTTGGGGTTCCACTCTCAGATAGTTGAGGCATGCAAAACGCCTCTTCAGTACTCCATTCAAGCGCTCAATGGCACACCTTGTTCTTCCATGGGCATTGTTGTAGCGCATCTGTGAAGGAGTGTTGGCCGTGGGAAAAGGTGTCATCACCCATGGTAGGAGTGGGTAGGCACTGTCGGCTAATATAACTCCATCCGGCCTGTTGGTTTGGAATTCAGTGAACAACCGGCTCTCTCTGAAGATACGTGCATCGTGGACTGACCCAGGCCATCTCACAACACAGTTGGTGATGGCAAGGTCAGCATCTCCCACAAGTTGCACATTGATGCTGTGCCTCCCTTTCCTGTTGACATATTCCCACTCCCTCTGACGAGGTGCTTGAATATGTACATGGGTGCAGTCGATCACCCCAATGGTGTTGGGCATGTCTCCCAGAAGAAAAAAGTTCTGCTTCACTTTGGCAATCTGGCCATCAGTGGGAAAAGTCACAAAGTGATCCAGCAGGCGAGCCAGTGCATCAGACACAGCTGTCACCACTTCACCCACTGTTGTCCTGTGGACTCCCATGCTGTCAGCTATGACCTCATAGAATGTTCCACATGCGTAAAAGCGCAGGGCAATGAGGACCTGCAGTTGTGGCCTGACCAAATCAGCAATGTAGTTGATGTCATCAAGTCCAAATCGAAAACGATTGTACAGTTCTTCTGTTGTATACTGTTGGAGAGGTTTGGGGCGCTCGGTGTGGACCCTTTGGCGGTAACCTCTCCTTCCAGCATGGAAGATGTGAACAATCCCTGCCATGACTGTGTTCTGACTGTTGTTTCTTTCAGTCAGTAGGCCTACATCAATCTCTGAATAACAACTAATTGCAAATACACACCTGGAATGAATGTCCAGATTGGTTAGGGCCTGTGGTTAATTATGTAATTAATAGCAAGGCCATATAAAACTAATTGCTGACCTGACCAAACCATTGAGTTGGAAAGATGGTCAAAAAGGGGCCTAATTTTACATCTGCTGAGACCCATGCACTGCTGCTGGGTGTAAGGAACAATTATGACTCCATAGTTGGTAGCTTTAACAGAGAGGGTGGAGCGACTAAAGTAAAGAGCGGAATATGGATGGAAGTTACAGACAATGTGAATGCCACAGGATCTGGACACAAGAGGACGGTGGACCAAGTGAGGTTGAGGTGGAAGAATTTGAAGCAGCAAGCTACCAAAGACCACAGCCAGGCTAAAAACCCACAGACGGGTAACAAACCACATAAAAGGGGACAATACACAGATGTGGTACTTGATATCATTGGTGGTCAGCAGTCACAATCTTTACATGGAATACCAAACGTTGTACTGGATGGTGAGTCGCAGGTATGTATGATTTTATCCTTGTTCCTATAGAACTACAATTATTATCTTGTATAATTGTTATTTTCATAGTACTACAATGGCTATATGTCTTACATAGCATCCTAGTACTACAATTTTCCAGGTTGCATGCTTGTGATCATCTTATTAAGGGGTATAAAGTATATTGATAAACTTTCATTTCAGGTCGTCAATGCACCTGATGTGACACACACCATTGAAGATGAGGTCCTCCTGACCCATGTGGATCCAGAAGCTGGACCTTCAGCCAGGCCTGATAACACACTGCAAGAGCCACCTCTAAAGAGAAAATGCAAGCGCACCAGAAAACCAGAGCAGAGGGATGATGCCTACGAGACTCTGCTGAGCCGTGAAACGGAGAGGGCAGAGATGCAGATCCGTCTGGCCGAAAAACAAATACAGCTGTGCCGGCTTCAGCAAACTGAAACCTCACTGAGAATTCAGCTCCTCAAAGCACGCCTGGATGATCCAGCTGCCTTTGAATGAATGCTTTATTGTTGTTACCCTAGTGGGAGTATTTTTTTTTAATTACAATTTCATTATGATTTGATGTCCTTTATGTATTTAAAAATATAATTAAACATTATGTCTCTGCAATGTGGTCTCTTGTCTTCCTTGTATTATTTTT